AGGAATTTCCTCATCTCCCTTAAACCATTTAACATTTGGTGTATCCTTGACAATGTCACAGGTGAAAGTAGCTGTTCCTTTTGGTTTCACATGCTGGTCTCTTATGGGTTTTACTAACCAGTCTCTTATCACTTCTGCATGACAGAAAGTTGCATAAAAATACAGCTTAGCAGACTTGCACTACAAATAAGAGGGTCATAAATAGAAGAAACAGAACTAAAAGATTTTGTATTACAACAAGCTTTTAATAGCTTTAAAAATCTTATCTGTCCATTTATATTGTCATGCTATTAGAAATGCTTTCCTAATTTAAAAATGGCCCAAATATCCTACTGAGAAAGGAAAACATGTTTTTGATTGCTTACCTACTACCTTAACACAAGATGAGCATGACAGCTCGGTGTTTTCCACGGTAACAGTGTAAGTGCCAGCATCAGCATCATCTGAATCAGTGATTGTGAGGGAATGTGACAAACCAATAATGCCCAGAGCAAATTTCCCAGGCTTGTCTTTGATGATCTTCCCATCCTTCCTCCAGACGACACTTCTTTCTTTGTTAAGCTCACATGTCAAGTACAGTGGCTGGCCTTTGACCACAGTGACTTCTTCTTCAAGAGTTTTCACAAATCGCACTGGGAGCTCTGTGGGAAACAACATTTTGATTTGTCTCATTTATATATAGAAGGTGTGATGCAGAAATGCCTTATATATTCAACCAATATGTGTAGTGATTGATGGAAACGAAAGGATGCATCAATCAATCACTGTAAATTCACAACGTACCACTACTTCTAGCTTGAGGAGCAGCTAGTCTTTAAACTATTGATAAACCTGAAACAGGGAATACCTTCAACAACGAGTTTGGCTGTAGAGGTCTTCTCTTTGTTCCCCAGTCGTAACACACAAGTATATTCACCAGCATCTGACAGCTGGACATCAATAATATGCAGCTTCCTATCTTTGCCATCAGCAATGAACTTATGTTTTGGGCTCTCTCGAATGTTACTTCCATCTTTCATCCAGCTGGTAATTGCAGTGGATGGTGAAATAAGGACTTCAAAGATTGCAGAAGACCCAACAGATTCAGCTTCTGTTAGCACTATATCTTTCATCTCCTTGACAAACTTCAGTGGTACCGCCTTGAGCTGGTAAGTAAATGGAGGCTCTTCAGGAGGTTTTTCACCACCACTGCCTGGCCTGAGTTTCCTTCTTTCTGCATCTGCTGGTGAAGGTGTCTTCTTGGCTGTAATTCAGATACAGAAATTAATAAACTAATCCTGATTTATTGCTTCTGTTTGCAGGTATTGACTTTTAGTATCCTACCTTTGACTGGACTGATACCCTTCGGAGTTTCTTCTTTTGGTGGCTTGGCCTCTGAAGTAGAATAGCAATGTTATTAGGAATGTAGTTAAATAAACATACGTACTCAAATTAAAAGAAACATTTATTTTACAAATCATATTTTCTCTTCCTTTAGTTATATACACATACAAGAGGAGGAAAAAATAAACATATTTATATATTTACACAACTTATACTGTCTAGATCTCAATGGTAAGTTCAACATCTTGAAGCATGGGAAATACGCATATTCAGCAGTGGGCACTGAAAGGCAGCTTAGAAGCTCCTAGTTCCTCAATTTATTGTCCTACCCATTATTTTGTAAAATTCTGGCATTCCCTGACACCTTACTCAAAGTTAGGTCCTCCATCGATACCCACCTGTCAACCAAAATAGCTTAAGTACCTATTATAAATTATATGGGTTGGATTTTTTTTAGAAAAAGCACACACTTTTACTAATGAAGAGAGCAAAAATATAAGTTGTATGAATTAAATACATGTTTCAGGACAATGTGATACTCTCACAAGCAAGAGATGTTCTGTTAGTTTCCCAACTTGTGATGAATCATCTCAGACTTTTGAAAATATTTCCCATGCTATACTGCTTCTTACAATCAATTTTTAAAGGAAATATAAAATATACTTTTAATGGGAGAATGATATGAATGAAATGCAGATTTTATTGCAGTGGATGGAAAAATGAATACTAGAAAAAATATGTGAGTTTTTCTGAGAAGATAATGGCACACCACATGATTTATGCAGTCTTACAAAAGTGTAAGACTAAGACAATGAACACTGATCACAGAGATGTATGTACAAACAGGTAAGACAAACATGTCAAGAGTGGCTGAATGCTAATACAGCCAGGTGACAAACTAGATGGAAATGTGAACGATGTTAAAGAACGAAAACAAACATCACGATGGCAAATGGTATTCTCCTGAAGCAAATAGTACAAGCACTTCGTGGAAGAATTTGGCAGCGGTCTTCCTCACCTCGCTTTGCATGAGTCTTTGCAGGAACATCCAGAACTTCATGTGATTCACCAGGTGCATCCAAATTCTTGTTCTCACTTGAAAGTCTACTGACCTGCTCAGCCACATGAGCAGGTTCTGATTTCTGGTATTCTTTCTCTCTTTCTGCTTTCTTGGGAGTTATTATCTTACCTATGGTTGAGGAGTAAGTAACTTCCCCATTAGCAGGGATTCCTTTGCTTGATGGTATTTTGTCTGAAAGCTTTCCCTTCTCTTTTTTCATGGCAACAGATGTGCTTTTTCCAATGCCATGTTTAGCTGATATTTTTTCATCTGATGTACCTTCTGTCACTGGAAAATCTTTTCCCAAAAGCTTAACTTCTTCCATCTTGAAAGAAAGTTTATTTTCTTCAGTTTTATCTTTGCTGCTTTTGAGAGCTGCAGTTTCTTTACCTTCATCCTGACTGATATGAGCTTCCTGAAATTGTTTTTTATCTTGAGTTCCTGGTGGCTGAATAAGAACTTTCTTTACTGACTCAGATCTGTCAGCTATTTGATCTTTGACTTCCTTTTCATGTTCTCCTATGGAAACTTCATCTTCCATTCCTTTTCCTGTAATCACTATATCAAATTCTTCCTTTTCCACAGGCAGCTTTTCAGGGGCATTTGACTGTCTAATTTTGTCTTTTTTTAAGTGGGTGCTGAAGGTAGTTTTGTCTCCCTTCTCTGGTATAGTATTTTTGCCTAGTTTTTTGTCAGTTAGGAGTGCTTTCTCAGTCAACAACTGTCCTGAACTCTCCTCATAATGAGCTTCTCCTTCCTCTGCAAATTTTTTTTCTCCTGCTTTCCATTCCACTACTTCTGCTTTAAAAACAGATGGTTCATAGTTTATGTAATCTTTTTCTCTGGGAACCTCCTCATCTTCAGTGGGGTGTTCTCGGTCAAAATCTTTTGTCAATGGTGGTTCAGTCTCCTTAGACAGGTCTAAGGAATGTAGTTCTGCAGATGTAAAGATCAGATTCTCATCTTTCTCATCATCTTGAATAATGTCCATTTTCTTTGCTTCTTTATTAAGAATCTTATTTATAGGAATTTCAGCTATCGTGGTATCGGATTTCTTCATCCACTGAGTTTTATTTTGTATGCCATGCTCCTTCATGGATTCTCCAAGAGGAACTTCAGATTTCTCTACAGTGAAATCTCTTGTCTCTTCTTCACTTCTAAGCAGAGGAGTTTCAGCTATTCCTGCTTCTGTGATATCCTTTGCAAATGAAGTTTTGTCCTTATTGGGATATTCTTCAGTTTGCAAACTGATTTTTGATTTCCTCTCTTTTCCTAGAAGTCTTTTCTGGTCCTGAGGCTCATATGGCTCTCTGGGTATATGTTTATGCATGTAATTTGATGCAATTTCCTTTTCTTTTTCATGCACAGGAATCTTTCCTTCATGAAAAACATCAAACTTGCCAGAGACTTTCTCTACAGCACCTTCCCTATGAACAACCAGTTTAATTTCATTCCCCTTTTCTTCTCCAGAACCTCTTTCTGCATGTTCAGGTGCTATAGAAATAAGTTTCAATTCCTCATCATGTAGTGGTGGTTCATCCTTTGTGTATGTAATGTTATCTATTTCAACTTCTATTTTCTCACCTCTAAGGGTAGTCTCTCTTGAAACTATAGATGTCATTTCTGGTGTCTCTTCTTCAGGGGCCAGGATAAAATATTTAAGAGGCACTTTCTCCTGCTTGTCTCCCTCTGGTTTCAGTATTCCATCAGCTGTTTCCAGAGAGATTTTAAACTCATGTGGTTTTACTGTCTGAATGTCCAGAACTGTCTCCTTAGGACTTACTCTCTCTTTTACATGCAAGCATTTCTCCACCAAAATCTTCTTCAATGCAATTGACTCGGGCTTTTCTTCTTCCACTGGGGGCATTTTATCTCTATGCTTTAATACAGATGGTGAACCAGGTTTTTCTGCAGCTACAAAGGTTTCACAGGTAATTTAGAGAGTTAAAATCCATAAGAATAAGCAACAGGAACAATATATTTTAAGACAAAATTTCCAGCTATACCTGAAATAAAATGAACACGGAACACTTTTTTGCCACACAACGGAAAACTTACAACATAATCCCAAAACAAAAGAAAGAATGACACACACAAACAGCACAGAAGACCTAAGTAAACCACTCTTATGTTACGGAGCATTGGTCCACTAGCTTGCCAATTTAAATACAATCATTGTTAAAAGTAGCAGAAAATGATATCTTTATAAGGCCTATATGGCCACCTATATAAAATGGATTAGCTATGCCACTGCAGGCCTGGCTACATCACCAAATCAATGGCCCAGAGACATTCATGATTAGGCTTCTGAAGTGAAGATTTGAGCTCTACTGTAGCATGAGGCTCTTTGAATGTTGGGTCAGCAGCATGTACAGCAGCTTTACTGACAGACCTCAGGCGCAGAGTGCTTCAGAAGAATTGGACCCTTCACAGTTGTTTTTTTACAGCAGGGTGTGACCTGGGATACTAAACAAATCAAATTAAAATACCAATGCTCTATTTATTCAATACCACTGCCATTTTTCCTCAGAACTTCAATAACAAATTAAAAGCAGAAAACCAAACAAAAGAATTGTTTAGAAACATGTGTAACCTTTCTTTTACTATACATAACATAGACGATACAGTTCACAAGACACACATCAGGACATCAGCAACACTGAGGAATCAACAGAACACACAAATTTCATAGTAAGACAATAAATAAAGGCACACATATCACACCATCCAGAAAAAAGAACACAGATTCATCTCTACGGTATATGAAAGACACTTGTCTTTCAGATTAGGTGACAGTATCTAGAACAACAAGATCCTTGAATAAGACCTCAAATCTTCCTGTAATGAATGAGTTATATGATTCTATAGCCCTTCATTCTCTTTATCCTGAAGGTATTTAGGTATCTCAGAGAGAAAAATGCCATAAATAGCAGAGAATAAACATAAATACCTGCTTTCTTTCCAACCACTGGGGTTGTCACTGGAGTAGTAACAGCTGGTGCTGGTTCTGCTGCTGGCTTTGGAGATTTTAGAGCTGCAGGGAAAAAAAAAGTTCTCATAAATTTGTTGTAATAAACAATTTTGTATTAAGTATTATGTTCTTCAAAATGTTCTGTAGATTGTATTAAAGTCCCAGTCTTAGTAATTCTAGACATTTGTTTATATTACAGACATTTGTTTAATGTCCTTTTAGCCAGAAATCTCTGATTGGAAAATACTAGATGCACAAGAAAGGCTGCACCATATTCATGACTAAAGAATTCTTACCTACTGCAGGTTTAGGTTCAGTCCCAGGAAGTGGGAGAGCAGCTTGTTTTGATTCTGGCATTTCAAACACAACAATTACAAATAGGTTAATTTACATGTTTTCTAATCCCACCAAAAATTAAAGTTAAAAGCAACAATACAGAGAGAGTTAATTGCAGACAGAATTTATTGGTTTATATTTTATTTAGCAAGAAAGCAAGAAATTAATTTCAGATGAGCTCTTGTAAAGCAAGATACAATGGAAAAAAGATGAATTTTTCAAGCACTGAAGAATTAAAGACAACAAGATATCTAGAAGAATGCAAAGCAGTTAATCATGACATAATAGTCATGGACAGACTGGATGATAGTCATGGACAGACTGGATGATAGTAATGCATTAGGTTAATATGGCATGATATTCAGCAGTAAGTATCATGTATTTGCTGCAATAAGGAAAAAGAGCACCACACGTCTGTACCTTTTGGTGGTTCAGGCACATGTTTCTCCTCTTTTTTTATGACAGGTATCTCAGTTTTCTTCTTAGGAACTTCTGGGACTTTAAAATATTATTTTTATTTTGTAAGATTGTTCTTGAAATAACTTAAATCCCCAAATACAGTTACAGCCAATGTATTTAAAAGTTTTCGTTCTTTTTAGATACAAACAATAACAGGTGTTCAAAAAGTTTAGAAATATGTATTTTTAAGAGTGAGATTTAAATAAATTAGAAACACTAAATGGACAGAAGGACAAATATTTGCAAAATTTTAACTAAAAGTATGCTTGGATTAGCTGTTATGCTGTAGTTATATTTTTATTAGTACTATAAAATATTTTTAAAGTTCTCTTCTATACAGTTTGACTAAGAAAGATTGAGAAACAATCCCAAAATGCAGAATTCAGACCCAAAAGTGGCTGTCAAATTTGGCTGCGCTTTCAGCAAAGCTTTGATTTAAACAATCAGCTTAATGCAAGCAATCTTTGAAATCTCACTTTCATTCCTGGATTTCAGAGAATATTAATTAAGAATGGGATTTTTTTTTTTGGTAAATTATAATTTACAAGATAGATTTGAATGTAATCTAGTACCTTCGGGTTTCTTAATTTTTTCTACTGGTGTAGGTACTGGTTTAACTTCTGGCTTCGGTTCTTTTTCTGGTTTAGGTTCTTCCTCTTCTGGTTTCTTTTTAAGAACTTTAAAAGAAAATGAATTTCAGTTTTTAAGGCACAGGTCAACAAAAGAATAAGATGGTGAACAAGACAAGTTTAAAAATATCTTAACAATCATGAAGAAACAAGAATGTAAAATACAAAGTTCAATATAAAAGGAAGATTTTGTGTAACTCTTCAAGATACTATTCTGAAAGCCTTTTAAAATTCAAAGTAATCTAGAGCAAAAGATGCTTTTATTAAGCGGAGTCCATCTGAGAGGAAAGATAGGTTAATTGTCTATGCTAGAATAAAATTTCTTGTAAAATTTGATCATATATTTCTCATCATATTTAAATGATAATTTACTATCCATAGTTATGCGTTAATAATTGCAGTTACAGATGTTTTTCATGGACAAAATGCAGGATTATGGATTAAACTCCTATTGACTTCAGTGAGAGAAAAAAGACTGAATCTTCAAGTGTTATATTTTGAGACCTCAAATTTATATGACATCTGGTTTTCATTTTACTTGATTCACTAATTTTTGTCTTGGATGCCTAATGAGACTATAATATTAAAATCTTCATATCTATGTTTTATTATGTTGTTTGAAATTTGAAGCTCATCTGCAAGGTACACAGGTACGAATCATCCCATTGTGGTATTTCAAAGAGAATTGGAGTTAGTGCTTCCTTTTTCTAAGAAATAATTGAGCATGAAGTGATTCAGAAGGCTCCAGACTTTGCAGGAAAGGAGACTGTTGTCCAATAGTGCCACAGGGATCTGTGATCTCTGCAGTACTTCTAAGAAAACCATAGAAGAGAATACAGATGCTACAAATTTGACTTTAATAACATTTACACTGTCACCGGAAAATATTTAGGGGTCCTGAAGCTGAAGACAGTGGAAAACCACCAACTTCAGTATAGGCATTACGGAGATTAAGAAAATAAAAGAGAGTTACAGAGAACTAGGTTTTCAGTGTTCTGATGTGTTTTCATCACAGATCCTTTGAATCTGACAGTTTTTAGGATATCCCCACTTCATCCCTGCAACTTTAAACGCTTTCCCCAAGAAACAGACATTGGGTAGTAGTTTGATCATTTCCATACCACACACATAAAACAATGTTACTTTGGGGAATATACTGAGCAACGTATACTATACCTCTTTTCAAAACAACTTCTTCTTTTGGTGGAGGAGTAACTTCGGGAATTACTCTGCGAGGTTTCTTTACAAGTCCAGGCACTTAAAAGAGTATTATTCCAGATTTTATTAAAGGTTCATAACAGTAGTAAGAGCTAACCAACAACTAACCATTCCAAACACACAAATCAAATGCTGGTCCACTGCTGAATATTAAAAGCAAAGGTAAAACTGCTGAGGTTGAAGTTGATAGTTTTAATATTTTTTCCTATATCATTTGCATCCAGTTGTCTTCTATCAACAAAAGAGAAGTATGGTTTGACAAAACTATAAAGGTTTCTCCTTTTCCTCTTTCATTACAGGCTTATGTTACATATCTATTAATCTGAACTGTTTATCTAAGATGTTCACATGGATCCAGTTAGTTTGATTTCTAAACCTGGACCAGCATTAAGAAAAGATGTTTACTGCTTAGCTGCTTAGGTTGTCTTAAGTTCCAGTACATAGGAAAAAGATAAGTGAGTACTTGTAAAGCGACTTGCTCAATTCATTATTCATCTTCATCTCTGCAAAGTGTCCTCTCACAAAAATAAGTTACATTTCAGACAAATAATAAACTAAAAATGTTCGAACAATGCTATATGCATTTTAAAAGTATGGTGTTTTTCATTTCTCCCTAAGCAGAGAACCAAAGTGAGCATCTACACAAGTGCCAAAACTCATAAAATCTCTCTCACTCTTTTGTGGTTCTGTATCTTGCATTTCATGAATTGCATGATGGGAGGTTAAAGTGGACATAAATATGACATGAACAGGTATATCCAAGACTGGAGTCTACTGTTGAGTATAATCTAACATAGACAGCTTTTTGACATTTCTGAACAAATTAAAGAAGAAAAAGATACCAAGAACTACAACTTTTGTCTCATAAGAGGCTTAATTTAAGAAAGATTCTTATATGAGCTAGGTACCTTTAGCAGGTGGGGGTTCCAATTTTGGAGGCTCACCAGGTTTTGCAGTCACAACTTTCTTCCTTGATTCAGGAGCTTGAAAGAAAATTATTTTAATTTTACCACACACATCATTAGATTCAAAAAAGAAAAGAGCTTTCTAAAAAATCCAAACAAGTGATTAATACTATTGACATAACAGAAAGACAAGAGTTACAAAGCTAAGATTCTGGGTGATTAACTGTTTAGAAGAAGTCAGATGATCTGAAGCACAGTTGAACTGAAACCTATATTCCTATAGTAACACCAGCAAATTATTGCTGGAGATTCTTTTCATTTTTAAGAGCATATTAAAGATAGAAGAAGT